ATGTTTATAATTGTTGTAGAACTCATGAACTGTTGTATTATGTACGGAATTAAAGGTGTGAAGTACTGTAAATATGTAGCTAGTCTGGAGATTCTCATAACACAATATAAATATGTAGCTACTCTGGAGATTCTCATATCACAATGTAAATATGTAGCTAGTCTGGAGATTCTCATATCACAATGTAAATATGTAGCTATTTTAATTCCATACATAATCCAACAGTTCATGAGTTCTACAACGCATAAAACACAAGACACAACAATACAAAAAGAAAATAAGTCTGCACAACAGAAATTAGATAAAATACATGAACATGACCCTGAGAAGGAGGCAAATAATAAATAAGCAAGCAACAATGAAAATATTAAATACAATGGTCAACACATCAAATCAATAAGAATACAAATTACAATAGTACAGGAGGAAGAAGTCAAGTTGAACCTGACCCTCCCAGGTCTACAAGACCTAAATCCCGATACCAGAATAGATGACATATTTTAACCATACATTGCCTCCAGTCTAAACCTGCACTCTTAAGTCTAAGTTGCCTTGACTTTTATGACACTCTTAAATTAACTACGTTTAATGCAAAAACCCTCCTCCTATCCGTGCATTTTGGAGCTTAAACAAATCTATAATGTATACTGCATGTTTTTATTAATTGTTTTTCAATGTATTAACACTGCATTTTCATTCAAACCACTGCATACTCATCTCATTCATCGGACACCTGCTAAACAAATATCCGATATTTTTGAGTCAGATTTATTCTATGGCCTGTTTGATGCTATGTAATAGAATTCCATCTAATTTAACTGACACACTATAAGCGTTGGTACAAAATCAGGATTTCACAACTTAAAAGAGTAAATCACCACAATTCGTATCATATTTAGGAGCTGAATTTTCAACTTGAACCCCAACGCACACGTGGGCTAGACAGCCGGGTCAGAGACCTGTAAGGTCAAGGTAAAAGCGTTGCTAATTTTCAACTACTGGCCAGAGGGAAAGTGACCAGTCGGTATTCCATCGTCACGAGAGTTATGAGTCCTGTAACGAGATTGACTTTCACTTTTATAACAAAGCCACAGTCAAAAGTGCGAAGTAGATACAGCAGCACCACGTCTTGAACTTTGGAGTCTTCTGTATGCAGCCCAGCACGTTAACCACTAAGTCACCGGCCCATCATATTTATAAAAAACCCGTGTCAAGTTGACTCACCGTATTTTGTATTTATAGTAATTCTACTAAAGCCGTCCTTACTTTTGAACTATTGACCAGTCAACAGCATCCCACGATGTAGAAAAAACAATGTACAACAAATGTGTCGTCTACAGAAATCTCGTAGAACAGCGAAACCCAACTTTGAAAAGACGGTTTTTAAATAAATTAAAATAAAAAACATAAAAAATTTACAGACAATGTATAAAATATTTCCATCTATACGCGTGGAAATTCCTCTTAAGATACAACGCTTTAAACAAAAGTAAAAGTTCGCATTTAAAAGTACTTTAAAATGCCGTTTTGGTTCCTTCTAACGCTCATGCGGATAACTCACTTAAATCTGCTTACTAGATTAATGAACGCATTTTCGAAAGACTCAGTATGTGTTTAGATAGCCTGCGTTCAGTAGCCGGAAGCGAACATTCTCAAAATAATTCCGGGTAATTTTTTCCGTATTCAGTAAGTGATAATTTAAACACCGATAATAAAGTTTTCACTCCCTGTAACTTCGACGCACTCTTCTGCTTCACTGACTTTGTGTGTTTTATACAGCGTGAGAAATGCCAACTTTATTATAGAAAATAGCCTATTCATCATGACAACACTGTATTGTTAACAAGATTGTGCATACATTCAGCTGGTTTAATTAACGAAACCATAATGTTTATCTAATTTATCAATTAATTTTGTTTTGATAGGCACGGCTTTAATCTCCGACAATTAAGAAATTATCTATTAAGTCATAGCTAGACTACTATTTTATAACACGTACTTTTTTTATTGTCACGACACGTGTTTCCATACTGACTCCAGGACAACAAAGAAATTATCATTAATTTCTGATCAAAGCATGCAAGCTACCTCACATGGATTAGAACTAAAAATAAACCCAGTTATTAATGTAGCTAACTTAATATATATAGTTTTAACTCGTAGTATGAAAAGTCATAAGACAAAACTTATTATAATTAGAATGCATTGATTTACCAGTTGGTTATCATCGCTGTTAGCGATATTTTCGGCCGTAATCCTAACAATATCTGTGGAGGTATTGCCAGCTTAAGAAATTTAGATTAGTCCTAAGTCCTTACACTACTAAATCAACAATGCAAAATAATCATAATAATAATAAACATACTATACATATCAAACATTTTAACCAATATTGCTAATGAGTGTTTGTTTGTTTGTTTTACAGAAAAGTCCCATTGGGCTATATGCTGTGTCCACCGCGGGGAATCGAACCCCGAACTTAGAGTTCTAATTCCATAAAGTTACCGCTGTCACCACTATAATTAAAGAAAGAATAGTGTATAACTTGCAGTCATCATCACCGATTCCCTATCCCTTAAAAAGCCCGATTAGGCTTCTTTGATTGATGCTGGCTTTTTCGCAATATTTTATAAACGTATACCATAATGATATCGTTTTACTCACCTGTCATAACACTCTAAATTAATCAAATAGTGAAATATTTGTCGAGTTGAAAATCACTATCAAGAAGACCTGTTTCTTTTTTCTCGTCGACTTAATATACCGGTTGTATCATCGTACTTTTCAGTGTATTGTTTGTTTTTGAATTTCGCGCAAAGCTACACGAGGGCTATCTGCGCCAGCCGTCCCTAATTTAGCAGTGTAAGACTAGAGGGAAGGCAGCTTGTCATCACCACCCACCGCCAACTCAAGGGCTACTCTTTTACCAACGAATAGTGGGATTGACCGTCACATTATAACGTCCCCACGGCTGAAAGGGCGAGCATGTTTGGTGTGACGGGGATTCGAACCCGCGACCCGCAGACTGCGAGTCGAGCGCCCTCTAACCACCTGGCCATGCCGGGCCTCTTTTCAGTGTATGTAATTCAGATTTTTTAGCTACAATTAGTTACTGAACAAGTATGTTTGTAGTTAAGCATAGAGCTACGCGAAGGGCTATCTGTGCTCTGCCCACCATGAGTATCGAAACCCAGTTTCTAGCGTTGTAAGTCCGCAGACATACCGCTATGCCACTGGAGAGGGTGGTAGTACTGAACAGGTATCACAGGTATCTGAAGTAGATTGGCTTTGATATCCCATATATCTTAGAGAAGATGAAAATAGACCTTGAACGATGCTTGGTTATAAATAAATAAACCGAGAGAGAACTTCAGAGAATCTTACACGTTGTTTTATTTTATCAACGTTTCGGCGTTACGCTTTCTTATAATTTCCGTAATGAACTCTATCACTCACTGTTGATACTGTTTATTGTTGATGTAATACATATTGAACTTTAAGTTGAAGCTACTAACGAGCAAAACATGAGAAGAAAAACTTAAGAACTCACTATTTTAATTACTATTCCGTCCAGGGCATGATCCATACTGAATTTAAGGTCAATTAAGAGTCACTCGGACACTAAGAGGAACAATGTAATACCAGACAGTTTCATGATATCTTCTTAACCTTTATTTTATTTATAACTCTCCACTAAATAACACACGAGAATTATCCCCCCCTCCCAAACATCGACGTCTACAGATTAAAATATTTCGCTATATAGAGGTCGCTAAATAAAAGGTTTGTTGTTTGTTTCATAGAGTTCGCTAAATAAAAAGGTTTATGTTGCTTGTTTCATAGAGTTCGCTAAATAAAAGGTTTGTTTTGTTCGTTTCATAGAGTTCGCTAAATAAAAAGGTTTGTTTTGTTCGTTTCATAGAGTTCGCTAAATAAAAGGTTTTTTTTGTTTGTTTCATAGAGGTCGCTAAATAAAAGGTTTGTTTTTGTTTTTTATTTTCATAGAGGTCGCCAAATAAAAGGTTTGTTTTGTTTGTTTCATAAAGGTCACTAAATAAAAGGTTTAGTTTGTTTGTTTCAGATGTTCGGACAAACCTAAAAAGGGATTATCTGTGCTAGTACTCCCTAACACTGAACTGATAGACTAGAGAGGAAGGCAGCACCAACCGCCAACTTTTGGACTACTCTAATCGAATGCCGGCACTCATGGCCCCAAAATAAGAATCGCAATTTTGCGGCAAGGGGACACAAAGCAAGAAGCTTTGGGTTCGAAGTCCGCTCGTTATCCACGAGGTCATGCCTAGCCTCTGATCCACAGAAACATTCTAATTTTCTTCAAATCCAAGGGTTATCAGTCAATTTTGCATCTTTCTTGAAATTTTCAAGAAAATACTACTGCCATTTTACTTTAATTTGATTTATACGAATCGTGTCAGCTACACACTTTTTAATACTTTTTTTTTAAATTTTAGACTGTAAAGTTTTCCTACTGATGAAATTTAGCCTAAATCAGATCATTTTGTGTACGAGATACACTAACCCTATTATATCACCATCAGCGCCACAAATGTGTGATTACAGATTGCATGGTTTCAAAACTACTTGCTTTGAACTGAATTCAAACTTTATGCTACCAAACTTGTTTGCTACTGCTAAGCGTTTTATATAGGTCGCTGCGCTCACTGAAGTCAGTTCAACAAGTGTTTTAATGACCCTAATAACGTGACATTACACTTCTCACTAACTAACTCTGCAGGATTAAAGGTTTCCGTTTCGGTTCTCTCATCTAAGGAACACTATATAGTCAACCACAATAAAATGCAGAACGAAAACAACGGTTTGGTTTCCTGTAGAGCAGTTTCGTGTAGTTATTAATGTTATTTTTTTTTACTGATAATATAATAATAATGCAACATACTTCGTACAGATGAACAGCTTGTTTTAATACAAGTACAATTAGATTCTAGTCTAATATAAAAGAAAAAATGTAATTCGCTCACCCTCAACCGCTTGGGTGGAGACCTCGTAGACAAGCGTGGAGCCATCTGGGTTGATTCTTGACTCGGGACAAAACAGCCTGTGTCACGGTTAAAGAGCTACCTGGAGGTGCAGGTATGCAAACGGCTCGGACACCGCGGGGGTCTTGTCCTTGACTGGCGCAGATCAACGCAACCACTACCCACAACACCGCCGATCAACGTACTAGAGAGACCCGGCGAAGCTCGAGAGCATATGTGGAATAGCGTTCCGACCGCACGTCAGGCTAGTCCACTCCAGCAGGTGGGAGGGGAACACGGAGTCCCTGCAGTGGCGCCCTCCCAAGACAGCCTCATTTGAAATTCTGGACCTGTGTTTGTAACAGGCCACTTAGGTAAGATACTGTGGCAAGTCAAGGTTAGGTGTATGCCTGTGAATGTTGTTACTTGATCGTTGCTGGAACACAGTCTGTACCTTGGGGCCATGTAG